TTTCGCAGGTTCGGATCCTGGGCGTGGACATGGCATTGCTTATCAGGCCATGCTGAGGCAGGGTCCCACATGCCACAACTAGAAGGACCCACAACTAAAATATACAACTATGTACTGGGGGGCTTTGGGGAGAAAAAGGAAAAAATAAAACCTTAAAAAAAAAAAGACATGGAAGCAACCTAAATCCATCGAAAGTGGCCATCAATGGATGAATGGGCAAAGAAAAGGTGATACACACAAACAGATACAAACAGAAACACACACACACACACACACGAATATTATTCAGCCATAAAAAAGAAGGAAATCCTGCCATTTGTGACAACATGGATGGACCTTGAGGGAATTATGCTAAGGGAAATGAATCAGAGAAAGACAAATACTGTATGATCTTATTTACATGTGGAATCTAAAAGATCAAACTCACAGAAACAGTAGAATGGTGGTTGCCATGGGCTGAGGAGTGGGGGAAATGGGAGATGTTGGTCAAAGAATACAAACTTCCAGTTAGAAGATGAATAAGTTCTCAGGATTAATGTACACATGGGGACTACTGTTAACAGTACAGAAAAGTTGCTACGACAGTAGACTTTTAATATTCTCACCATAGCAACAAAATGGTAATTACGTGAGGTGAAGGAGGTGTTAACTAACTTACTGTGATAAACATTTCACAACATATACATGTATCAAGTCCTCACGTTGTACACCTTACGCTTACCCCATACGGAAAGTCAATTCCATCTCAATAAAGCTGGAAAAAATAAGGTGCCTGCTTCCCTGAACCTTCGCTAAGACTAAGACACCATTAAAAAAAAAAAGGAAAAAATATTAAAATTTCTCCCCAATTGATTATGAACTTGAATACATTGTTTTACTTCACATTTCTTTGCTTTCCAGCAAGTTTTAAAAATGTGATTCTCTGTTGTTTATATTTCTTCTACAAACTGTCCTTCACCCATCTTTCTGTTGGCATATCAGCATTTTGCAAAAGGAAGAGCTAGTTATATACTAAAACTAACAAGCCTCAGTCTATTGAATTTGTTGCAAGTGTTTTTGCTGCTGTTTTTAAATTTTATGCTGGGACTTTGCATGTAGTGAAATACACTGTTTATGTATTCTTCGTGGCTACTTTCATGCTACAGTGGCAGAGGTGAGCAGCTGCCACGTTTCACTATAGGATACATGCAGTGAAAACTCTTTTTCCTTCCCCAGAGTCTATGCTTCCAAAGCACTTTGGCGTGCGTGCTCAAATGCGCCTGGGAATCCAGGCTGCAGGCCTACCCCTACCCTGGTTTGCTGTTTGACATCTCTTCTCGGATCACAGCCTCCCCATCTGTCAATGGGGTGCAGTCCTCGTTAGATCTCTGAGCTTCCTCTCAGTTCTGGCATCCTATGTTTCTATTCTAAAGCTAGAAATTTGATTTCAAACTCAGAGCTCATTTCAAGAAGCTCTTACCACCTATTACAACAGCCTCCCTGGTAGCTCGGGCTTCTATAACAAATTACCATAACTGGCTGACTTAGACAACACGCATTTCCCTCTCACAGTTCTGGAGCCTGGATGTCTGAGATCAGGGAGCCAGCATGCGTGGGTTCTTGGGGAGAGCCCTTTTGCTGGTTTACAAACAGCAGCTTTCTTGCAGTATCCTCACAGGGCAGGAACAGAAAGCTCTAGTCCCTTTGTCCCCTTGTAAGGGCTCCACCCCATGACCTCATTCAAACCAGATTTCTTCCCAAAGGCCCCACCTCCAAATACCATCACGCTGGGGATTAGAACTTCAACATATGAATCTGGGGGGGAACACAAACATTCAGTCTTTCACGCTCTCTTAACTGGCCTCCCCATTTTGATCCCTCTATGCTCCAATCTTTAACGGGCATTGCTAACATCAACCTTCCTAACAGGCAGTTCTGAGCACGGGGCTCAAGGGCTGCAGACAGGACCCCGCCCCCTCAGCAGTCCTTGATCTTATTCTCTGCCTTCCCAGCCTTATCGCCTGCTGCTCCCTGTCAGAATAAATATTTGTGGTTCCCCAAATATTTTTGCTCATACCATTGCCTTTGCTGGGAATGCTCCCACACTGTACATTTTACATGGAAAAACATTACCTAACTTTTAACCACAGCTAAGCACCACCTCCTCCCAAAGCCTTTAGTAACTATTTCTCAGTCCAGAGGAAATGTTCTCTTTTGAACTGCAGTATTATTCACATACTACGTGTATTATGGTTGTTGATATTTATGTCTTGTTTCCTGAACAGAAATATACCAACCTCTGAGGCAATATGGCAAGCCGCTAAATTAGTGAGTGCAAACTGGCAGCCTATATGATATTTTCAGAATTGGGAAATTTCACAAAAAATCCCAACTTTCATCTTCTCTCGAAAAATCAGAAGATCTGGACTACATTTCTGTAAGGCAGAGGTCAACAAACTATAGCCCTTGGGCCAAATTTGCCCTGTCACCCATTTTTGCAAATAAAGTTTTATTGGTACACAGTCACACTCATTTGTTTATGTATTCTCAGTGGCTACCTTCATGCTGCAATGGGAGAGGTGAGCAGCCGCCACAGAGACTGTATGGCTCACAAAGCCTGTTTACTATCCAGCCCTTTACAGGAAAGGTTTGCTGACCCTTGCTGTAAGGCACCAAGTATAGGCCACCACCGAGGCTCACTTTAAATGAAGCATGTACTCTCCAGTTTCCGCCAGGAGCCTCCCCACCTGCTCTTGGATTGACCCTGGCCAGCTGCCAAGTATTTATCTTCCCCTGCAAGGCATTTGAGCCATTTGCATTTTCCATTCTTATGAATCCTCTAAATCACAGCCTAATACAACATGAAAGCCATTATGCCATAGAAGCGAGGCAATCTTCTAAAAAATACCTAAAAGCATTACACTGCCAATACTAAATTTGAGGATCAGGTCTGATAATATTCCTCAGTAACTCTAGCTCCTGATGAAGTAAGTTCTTGTAGGTCGAAGCTTGGAGTCTAAAGTCAGATTGCCTGGGTTGATATTCCAGCTGCATCACCAGTGAGCCGGGCGACCCCTGTAAGCAAGACTGAGTCTTAATTTCCTCGTCTAAAAATGAGGATAACAGTAGTACCTACCACTGGATTGATGAAAGGATTAACTTCCTTCAATTAATATTCGTTGCTCCCTGCTGTCTGTCAGGCACTGTGCTGGGCTCTTGGGACACATCCGTGAACAGAAATGACAGTCTCCGCTCGCTAAGAACTTGCACTCTAGTGGGGCAATGGGTCAGGCAGCAGACACCATGGAGCCTGTGGTGCAGCCTCTCGCCCACCTCTGAGTTTAGCCACGGCTGTCTTGAAAAGTGCTGACTTGCCTCTGGCTCCAGAGCCTTCTCCAGTGCAGCCTTGCAGCTGGAACTACCTTGGCCCTCAGGCAAGCACAGGCTGGTGGTCAGGGAACTGACGCCCCAGAAGCAGCCTCCACCAGTGGGGATGGGAGCCAGTGGATAAAGGCTTCGGCCTCCCATCTTTGGCAAGACAACCCCGCCAGGTATTCTGAATGCTTCCCAGAGGTCCTGTGGGATGCAGCCCCTCCCCTACAGCAGTGAGGCTGACAACACCCTTACATGGACTTTGTGCCCTCCCCATCTCACTCTCGGTGCCTCCTCACCCCCACCTTCTGGCAACACCTTCCAAATAAGCTACCTGCACCCAGACCTTTGTCTCAGTCTCTGCAGAGCCTACTGACTTGCTGACGGATCGGACGCGGAGAAGAGGAAGCTAGGAGCCAGGGCGGAGCCTCAAATTCAAGGTGTTCCACTCGGATCCCCTCCCCCTCTTCCAGCCTCTGCCACTGCCAGGTAAAGAGGGGCCACTGCCCTCTCTGTGCTCCAGGCGAGACCCCATCCCTCCCTCTCCCCAACACCCAACACTCCGAGCCTCACCACCACGATGTGCCTTGAGACCACAGGCAGGCACTTGACCCCTCTTTCAGCCCAGGTCTGCCAGGTCTCCCCACTCCCCCAGACTTCATCCTCATGCCCACCATCCTCCCCTAGTCTGGTCCCATGTCCTGAAGCCTGCCATTTTCCCTCTGGACCCCAGGCCAATCACCGGCAAAGTCCCCCACATCCTTGGACTCCTGTCAGCGTCCCCTTCACCGTCTCCCTCTCCCTCCCGAGCTGCACAGTCAAATCACGTCAGGGGCTTAAGAACACACCCAAGTCCAGGCTCCTCACCAGACTAATGAAATTCAAACCTCAGATAGTGGGGTCCAGGCTCCGGTGTGGTCTCCAAATTCCCCAGGTGTTTCTCATTTGAGGCTAGGGTGGAGAACTACAGAGGGAACGGACCCTGACTCTCCCTGAGAGCTCAGCTTCCCAGCGGCTCCCTAAGTGATGGCTCTGCTCACTCCTGCTTCTCTGCTCCAGGCCTGGAGGTGGGGTGGGCTCCTCCTTGTTCCCCTTGTCATGCCAGACCTCTCTCCATGGTCGTTCCTGTAAAACCTTCTGGCTTTGAACCTCTTGTCATTAGAATGCAGCTCCCACCACCTCTCCTTGTCGCCGTCACCTCTGGGCCACCAGGTCACCACCTCACTGCTTGAGGATTTTAGCTCCTGGCTCACTGTCACTCTCTCTAACGGGCTCCTGCTTCAATTCTTAGTGTTTTCAATATCCAAACAGATAGATGCACCTTCCAAGACTCTGGCCTCTCATTCCTGGACCTCCTGTCCTGCAAGCACCCTGTCTTCCACCCAACCTTGGCCACTCCTTGCTATGGTCTCACCCCATCCATAACCTCAATTCTAGCTCACTCCCTCTAAGGACCCAGACCACGACAACCCTGGACATCCTGGATCCTGACACGTCTCCACCAACAACTCACCTCTCCTCTCACCTTGCCCAGATTCACATCCAAGGTCAATCAGCCCAGTCATTCCAGTGCCTCTCCCCTTAACCCACTTGCCTTTCCCAGGATTTGTAGCATTCACTTGGCTAAAATTCAACCCAAGTTAAACCTACCTGCCTGCTCTGTGCCGGTTCCAGTGCAGCTGAGCATGACAGAGACAAAAACACAGCCATGCTGGCGGCCTTCAGTGAATTCACCATCATGAGGCACAAATGGGTGCTCCATTCTGCGGGGCAAACTGACTGTAATGCACTTCTCCTGTGGTTCTCAAAACTGGTCCCCGACCAGCAGCATTAGCATCAGTATCACCTGGGAATGTGTCAGAAATGCAAATTTTCAAGCCGCATCCCAGACTGAGTCAGAAACTCTGGGCGTGGGGCCCAGCACTCTGCTTTCTCGAGCACTCCAGGTGAGCCTGCTGTGCGTGCTTAAGTTTAAGACCCATTCCTCTCTCACTCTCCTAGGTGACTATCTAAACGTTGTCCTCTCCCTGCAAAGGTCCAATATGTCTCCTCCGCCCCCCACCTCACATTCAGCTTGCTTCCTTATTCACTAAGAAACCAGAAGAACTGCCCACAACACACTATGCCCCTTCTTACTCCACCTCTGCCCTCACACCCTACCTGGTCTCTCCTTAGTAAGATGCACCCATTCATCAGCCGTTCGGGCTCCTAAGGCCATGCCCCCACTACTGCCCTGGTCCAAGCCACCACCAGCTCTCAGTGGGATTATGGCAAAAGCTTCCTAACTAGTCTCCTTACATCAGCCTTTGCACCCTATTTTGTCCTCACAGCAGTCAGCATGAATCCATCGAAATGCAATTCACATCTCTCCTTTGCCCAAAACCTTTCAGGGGCTCCCCATTTCATTCAGTATACAGGCCAAGTCCTTCCTATGCCCACAGGGCCCTACATGATCTGTCCACCCCTCTGTTTGCCACTTCGACCTCCTCTCACCCCCACAATCCCTTCCCTCCACCTCTACCACGCTGACCTCCTCGCTCTTCCTCAGACATCGTGGGCATGCTGTCACCTCAGGGCCTTTGCAGTTGCTGTTCTTCTTACCCCCAGGTCTCTGGTCAGCTTTCCAATTTCCTTCAGGCCTTTACTCAATGTCTTCTTCTCAGGGAGCCTGTCTTAGCTAACTATTATAGTTTTAACTCCCAATTACTGACACTTCGATCTTTCTTCACTGCTTTATTTTTTCCCCTAATATTTAGCACTATCTAATAGACTATATATTTGACTTTTTCAATCTTGTTTACTCTGTCTCACCAGGTGGAACATAAGGCCCAGGAGGGAGGATATTTCACTCTTTTGTTCACTGTCTCAGTGTCCAGCTGAGTGCTGGGCATAGAAAGTAAATATCATCAGCTTCTTTAAATATTCCTTTCCTATTCTCCCTTTAACCAAAACCTGGCTCCTTTCCGAGAGCAAGCTTCCACTGTAGCCGTCTTGGGTTGGGTTTGTTTTCTGTCCCACTACCCTTGTACCAAGGGGCCTGAAGGGGAGGTGGGTGACTTCCTTGCTCCTCATTGTCACCCCCCAACCATTCTCCCTCCTGCCTCCAGAAGCCCTCGCCCTTTAGAAAGGCACATCATCAGGCTAGACTCTCTTGTCACAGCCTCTGATGGACCCCCAGGACATCCTTCTCATTGCTGGAGGATGAGCCTGTGCCTCACTGTCACTATCGCCACCATTATCTCATCATAATTCTTGGTGACTTCATTATCTTGGTAGATGACTCACCCAAGACCCTGGTCTCTCAGTTCCTTGAGGTCTTCTCAATAATCTTGTCCCTGTGCCAGCCCGGTGGCACAGCGGTTAAGTGTGCAAGTTCCGCTTCGGTGGCCTGGGGTTCATCAGTTCGGATCCCGGGTACAGACATGGCACCGTTTGTCAAGCCATGCTGTGGTAGGCGTCCCACATATTCAGTAGAGGAAGATGGGCACGGATATTAGCTCAGGGCCAGTCTTCCCCAGCAAAAAGAGGAGGATTGCTGGCAGTTAGCTCAGGGCTGATCTTCCTCAAAAAAAAAAAAATAATAATCTTGTCCTCCACGTGACCTTAGCCCAAACCCAGACTTTGTTATTACTAATAACTGCAAACCATCCATTTCCGGGATCACACGCTATGACCACCCAGCTGTCTTTCCAGCTCACCCCTCTGCCCCTCCAGCTCCAACAAGCATTCCACCCCACTGGGTCTTTCATCCATTGATCCTTCTGCCTTTTACTGTCCCACTCACCCGCTGTCATGCCCATACTTGCTTCTTTACACAGCACAGATCCCACAGCTTATCCTTAAATCCTTCCATTGCCCACACCCTCAACTCTGCTACCCTTTCTCACTTCACGACCTTCATCTGGCTAACCCCAGCCCTTGCTGAATGCAACTCTCCATCTCCTTTACCCCGTGCAACTAGATGTCACAATAAAAAAAAATATGACACCATACTGAAGGCGCCCCTTTAAATGAATGATAACAGCTACCTGCATAGCCCTCTTAATCCTCACAAGACCCCCAAGAGGTACTATTATTATCATCCTCATTTTCACGATGAGAAAACTGAGGCACAGAAAGGTCGAAATCGCACAATGAAGTGGAAGAATTAGAACAGAGCCCAGGCAGCAGCTTGGCTCCAGAATCCACACTCAGAATCATTCCACCAGCCTCTCAGGTCCGCTAACTTCACGCGGCCTCTAATGCCCACGACTTACACCACATTTAAGTAGGCCAGCCTTCTCAGACCAGAGCAGGCCTCAGATCTGCCGGGAGGGCTTGTTAAGCACAGAGAGCTGGATCCACTCCCTGGGTTTCTGAATCCGTGATATGAAGGGTTGGGCCTGACAACAATGCCCAAGTGATGCTGCTGTGCTGGTCTGAGGACCTGAGCAGAGGACCACGGCCCTTGTCCATTCACCCCACCCCCCAAAGGTGACCATTTCACACTTTCTCTCAACCTCCAACGCCTTGTCCTCATCCTCACTCCTTTTTTTTTCTTTTAATCATTTTTCTAGATTTTTTTTTTTTTTTTGAGGAAAATTATCCCTGAGCTAACTGCTGCCAATCCTCCTCTTCTTGCTGAGGAAGGCTGGCCGTGAGCTAACATCCATGCCCATCTCCCTCTACTTTATATGTGGGCTGCCTACCACAGCATGGCTTTTGCCGAGCGGTGCCATGTCCATACCCGGGATCCGAACTGGCAAAGCCCGGGCTGCTGAAGCGGAACGTGCGAACTTAACCACTGCGCCACCGGGCCGGCCCCTCATCCTCACTCTTGACAGATGACCTTGCTTCTGACCTCATGAGAAAACAGGAGCCATCAGAAGAGAGCTTCCACAAGCTCCCTCATCATTTTTCCTCACTCTCCTGCTGCCATCCCTCCTGTCATTATGGGCGAACTGTCTCTCCCCTGGCTCGTTCCATCAGTAGAGAAACATGCTATAACTTCTCCCATCTTAGAAAAAATAATTTCAAAACCCCCTCTTCATTACCTCTCTCTGCTTTACAACAAAACTTCTCGAAACAGTTGTCTATGATCACTGCCTCCAGTTATTCACCTAGTGTCTCTTTTTATTTTTAAACATTTTATTGTGATAAAATATGTATAACGTAAAATATTCCCTTTCAACCACTTTTAAGTGTATAATTCAGTGGCATTAGTTACATTCACAATGGGGCCAGCCCCGTGGCGTACTGGTTAAGTTCACGCACTCCGCATCGCTGGCCCAGAGTTCGTGGGTTTGGATCCCTGGTGTGGACCTACATCACTCATCAAGCCACGCTGTGGCAGCAGCCCACATACAAAATAGAGGAAGATGGGCACAGATGTTAGCTCAGGGACAATATTCCTCAAGGAAGAAGGGGAAAATTGGCAACAGATCTTCCTCACCAAAAAAAAAAAAAAAAAAAGGTACATTCACACTGTTGTGCAACCATTACTACTGTTTCCCAATTTTTTTCTGTATATAAGAAATCCCAAAGAATCCACAAGAAAGCAACTAGAGCTAATAAATAAGTTCAGCAAAGTTGCATCCTCCTATTGTCTCTTGAATCTTCTCCAACCATGTTTTGCCTCCATTCCTATTCCCAAACTGCTCTTTCCAAAAACTCCTCTGAGCTCCATCTTCCTAAAGCCAATGGTCACCTTTCGGTCTTCATCTTATTTTTGTTCCTGCATCATCTGATATGGTTGGTCATTTCTTCCTTTTTGTATCAGTGTCCTCACTTGGTGCTATAGACTGAGTGTTTGTGTCCTCCCCAAACTCTCATGTTGAAAGCTAATCCCTAATGTGATGGTGTTAGGAGGTGGGACCTTTGGGAGGTGGTTAGGTCATGAGGGTGGAGCCCTCGTGGATTCGGGATTAGTGCCCTTATAACAGAGGCCCCAGAGAGCTTTTGCCCCTTCCACCATGTGAGGACACAGCAGGAAGAAGGCCTTCTATGAACCAGGAAGTGGGCTCTCACCAGACACTGAATCTGCCGGCACCTTGATCTTGGAATTTCCAGCTTCCAGAACTAAGAAATAAATTTCTGCTGTTTACACGACACCCAATTTATAGTACTTCATTATAGCAGCCCGAATGGACTAAGACACATGGAGTCCAGCACCACAGTCCCTCGGTTCTCTCGACCTCTGTAGGGGAGAGGCACTGTGACCAAGGAGGAGAGGCTGGAGCAGTGTGGCCACAAGTCAAAGAATGCCAAGAGCCACCAGAAGCTAGAACAGGCGAAGAACAGATTCTCGCCAGGAGCCTTCAGGGCAGCCTGGCCCTGCCGACACTCAGAGTTCCGACTTCAGCCTCCAGAATTGTGAGAGAATCAATTTCTGCTGCTTTAAGCCATGAAGTTTGTGGTAATTTGTTACAGCAGCCCTAGGAAACTAACAGAGATGGCTCACAGACATCTCCAACTCAACCGTCCAAAACCAAACTCTCCATCTACTTACCTCTCGCTCCCACCCACGGAACCCGCTCCTCCCACCGTCTTTCCCTTCTCAGCAAAGAACAATTTCAGCCTTAAAGTCACTCAGGCCAAAACCTTGCTGTCTTCATTGACCCTTCACTTTCTATCACACCTCACATCCAAACCATCAGCAAACCTGGTTGGCTCTACCTTCAAAGACAGCACAATCAGATCACTTCTAATCTCCTTCCTGTAACCACCTGGGTCCAAGCCACCAGCATCTCTTGCTTGGATTATTGCAATCATCTCCTGTCTCCTTGCTTTTGTCCTTGCTCCTTACAGTCTATTCTCAAAATAGCAGCTGGAGTGACGCTGTTAAAATTGAAGTCAGACCTTGACACTCCTCTGCTCAAAACCCTCCGTGGTTCTTCATCTCACTCAACATAAAAGCCAAGACCTTACAATGTCCTACAAGGGCCTCTGTGATCTGGACACTTGTAACCTCTCTGATGTCATCTCCCACTACTCTTGCCTTTCATCACTTGGCTCCTTGAACCAACCATGTTGGTTCCCAACTTTTCACTGAGAATGCTGGCCGTTTGGGAGGGGAGCTGGTAGGACTACCAGGACACATTTTGTCCTATTTGAGATTGGTAGACGTGAGTTTAAAGTGAGACCAACTAGCACAGTTGTGTATTCTCTTTACCATTCAGTTGGAACGAGTGACTAGGGAAAGAGGAGGGTTGGGTTTGGCCACATTAAGGTTTAGCTAAGGAAGGATGATGGGAAGAGAAGAGCAAGGATGTTAAGGCCATTTGTATAAGGGAATGATTATAATGTTGGACCACGAAATCTAAGTGGATAAGAAGGAATTAAGTTAAGTAGTGCATACAAAGCACTTACTACAGGGCCTGGCACACGGTGAAAGCTCAATAAGCAAGAGCTATTATTACCACAAGCATTCACCCTAAGTGTCCTAAAAGTACTCTTAAACCTAAAAAAGACCTGGCAAAATTAACTGCAGAACTGCACTCTCTCCCAGCTCTTGTGATTAAATCTCTATCCCTATAAATAAGAGATGGCTTTGAAGACAGAGCAATAAAATCCAAGACAAAGATAACACTTAACAGCTACATATGTATCTTAGGTATAAATAAATAAAAAGTATATTTTTGAGTTCACCACCACCAGAGTGAGAAGTCATCATTGCTTTCAACTCTAAGAATTCATAATGAGTGACATGCAAAAAATACATCCAAACACATCCGTCGATTTAAATACATAAAGCCTTACTTACCCCTCCAAATATTTCAGCCTGATAATATGGTGGTTTTTCTCTTAGATGGCAGTCTCATCTTACAAATTGGCAGTGATTTGCTTTCAATGATACATTAATGCTGACACAGAAAGCACCTTCTCATCTGTTACTGTCGTCTGCCAAGAGGCAAGCTGGGGTTGACTAACTGGAAACACACAACCAAATGCATCAGCTTTATCAGTGTGTTCTGGGTGCTCAAGGCCACGGCTCATTTCCTTCAAGCTTCGATATTATTCAAAGATTTGGCTAAGAAAAACATTTTATTTCTCTGTTCATACAAATAGAGATGTTAATGAGTAGAATGTCAAAGTCACATATATTTTAAAGATTAAAACATATCGGCACCATTCAGGAGCTGCGGCATGGAGCACAAAATCAACAGATGGGAGTTCTGGTAGGAGGGTCCATCTGCCAGCGCAAGGTCCCGCTAATTTAGGAGGAAGACGAACCCTCTGTGTCAACACTGTGGCAGAGGGAAGGCTCCTGACATTTTTGAGCTAAGCACCAAGGTGGATGGGGTTGCCGGTTACTAAAACGAGGGAGCTGGGGCTGGAACGAATGGTTGTGGGTCCCAGTCTCTGATTTTATACTTCTAATTGCAGGAGCCTCAATTTCCTCATCTGTGAAACGGAAGTGATGACTCCGAATTTCCTCAGTTGTATCATTCGATTTTTAACATTTCTAGTATTGAGAATGTGTCTTAAAATTAACCTATTTGAAGACGCAGTGCTTATCTTTGAACAGAAAAAGTATGAAAGGGAAGGTAATTCTTTTTCTCAGTGTTGATGTAAAATGTAATGAAGCAGCTAGGACCCAGCTCATAAGGTTGCCGTGAGGATTGAGTTAGTGGTAATGAGACGTTGTGCGTAAGGCATTAAGAGCGTCTGGACCTGCGGTTGAAGTGGGGTGGGGGGAGGGGCAGCCCCAGTCTGCTGATGTCCCGCTTCGCAGTCGGGTTTCCACGTCAGGTCATCAGAGCTAAAGCGGGGCAGAGAATGGCAGAAAAAGGAGAGGGAAAACATCCCTACCCTGTTCTGCGGGGTTATTTCTTACCTATAATTTGTTGCAACTAGGTTCAAGGACGTGCATTTCTCTGGAGCTGTTTCCTATCCTACTCCCTTTGTTTTGTTATTCACTGTGGAACCTACTTCAGAACACTGTCAGATTTAGCGACCCAGTTACCACCTCTGTGGGCGGACCTGGAGCCTGCATTGATTTCTTGTTTACAGGTACATCATTTATGTAAAGCCTTTGTTCAAAATGCTCCAGGGGCTCTCCATCTCCATGTAAACGCCAGGTCAGGTCAGTGGTCCATAATACCTTACATGATCTCCCCCACCATCATTTCTCTGACCGTCTCCTCTGGCCACGGTGGCCTCTTGGCTCTGCACACCATGCACACTGTGTCTCAGGCCTTCACACTGTTGTTCCCTCTGCCTAAAATGCTCCCCCTCCCCTGCAACCCCCTCAGATATCCTCATCTCACCTTCTAAAAGGTCCTTACTCAAGTGTCACCTTTGCAGTCACACCTTTTCTCAACACCTCGCTAAAGCTGTGACCCACCCCAACCAGCCCCCAATTCTCTCCCCTACTGTATTTTCTCTCCATGGTTCATGGGACCATCCAACATACCATTTTACCTGTTTACCTGGTTTATCGCCTAACTCTCTATTCGAGTGTAAGCTTCATGAAGGCAGGAATCTTTCTCTATTGTGTTTGCTGCTTTATCCGCAGTGTCCAGAACAGAGCCTGGCACACACAGGTATTCAGTAATTATTGATTTAAACAGTATTTCCGCATTTAGCATGTCCCTTCTTCAAGGTTGGACTATTGGGCCAAAAGGATGAGTATTTTTTCACAGTTCTTCACATCGGTTGTTGCATGTATCAATGGTTTGTTCCTTTTTGTTGCTGAGTAGCATTTCATAGTATAGACGTACTACAGTGTGTTTAACCATTCACCCGGTGAAGGACATCTGGCTGTTTATAGTTTGAGGCTAATATGAATAAAGCTGATATAAACAATCGTGTACAGGTTTTCATGTGAACATTAAGTCATTTCACTGGGATGAATGCCTATGAATGCAATTGCTGGGTTGTGTGGTAGTGACCTGTTTACTTTTTTAAAGAAACCACCAAACTGTTTTCCAGAGGGACTGTACCATTTTACATCTCCACCAGCAACATAAGAGTGATCCAGTTTCTCTGCATCCTTGCCAGCATTTGGTATTGTCATTATTTTTTATTTTAGCCATTTTAATAGGTGTATAGTGATGTTGTGGGTTTAATTTGCATTTCTCTAATAGCTAACGATCTTGATCATCTTTTTTTGTGCTTATTTGCCATCTGTATATCTGCTTCAGTGAAATGTCTCTTTGTGTCTTTTGCCCATGGTCTAATTGGATTGCTTGGTTTTTTACTATTGAGTTTTGAGAGTTTTTAAGATATATTCTAGATACTAGTCCTTTGTCAAGTATGTGGTTTGCAAATATTCTCTTTCACTCTGTAGGCTGTCTTTTCATCCTCTTAACAGGGTCTTTCATAGAATAAAAGTTTTTAGTGTTGAGGAAATCCAACTTTTCCATTTGGTGTCAAGTCTATGAACTCTTTGCCTAGCCAGATCTTAAAGATGTCCTCTTCTGTTTTTTCCTAAAAGTTTTATAGAGTAATATTTTACATTTAAATCTATGATCCATTTTGAATTAATTTTTATATAAGGTGTGAGATTAGCTTGAGATTTATTCTTTTTTTTAACCTATGGATGTCCAATTTGGAGCCTGTATTTCAACAAACTCCTCGGGAGCATCAAGATCTGAGAACTGCTAAGGGATTTGTGGATTTAGACAATCATGTGATGGTAAATGTTTCACAACTGGCTCTTGGCGGGGAGGGGCAATTTCTCTGGTATAAATACAACCCTCATAGCTGATTTCAAGCTGCTAATATGATGCCAATGAACACTGAGTCAGAAGAGATGTACAGAAGCACACCATTATGTAGCATCTCCACATTTATGATAGACGCAAATAACTTCAGAAGCATACATAATTATCAAATCTAGTAGGAAGTGATGAGTTTTGAGTATTTATTATCTTTGTTCTTAACATCATTTATTTGATTTTAAGTTTATGTCAGGAACTTTGGAGGTTCTAAGAGTTTACCCTACTTACAAGCTAAAAAATGACCCATCAGTTTCATGGATGCCAGCAGAAGACACGAGACTCCTGGGTCAGAGACAAAGGACTTTGTTGCTTAGAGCAGTTGGAGTAATCAGAGTGTCAGCGTTATCTCGCACCAGTTCCCTGAGCCCCAGTTCCCATAGGGTGATGCAAAGTGGACCAGTTGGCATTGCTGGCACATGCAGTGAGTTGCATGTAGGAGAGAAATCCTGAGCTTAGGGACCTGAATCTTTCATAAGGATAAGTTATCACCTTTTATAATGCTCAGAGGTAGACATTATCTTTATTATTCTGGACAAAGAGCAAAGCTATTCTTTTTTTCTGGAGGGAACTACTATACAAACAAGTTTGAAAAGATAGCCTGGAACAAAGACAGTGAGGGCCTCCACTTGTGAGACCAGCTGAAACGAGAGACATTCATGGAGAATTGGCTCCCAACAGTTTATATAAATTTTTTTTTTTTTTTTTTTTGGTGAGGAAGATTGACCCTGAGCTAACATGTGTTGCCAATCTTCCTCATTTTGCTTGAGGAAGATTGTCACTGGGCTAACATCTGTGCCAATCTTCCTCTATTTGTGTGTGAGACGCTGCCACAGTGTGGCTTGATGAGTAGTGTATAGGTCCACACCTGGTATCCAAACTCACAAACCCTGGGCCACCAAAGCAGAGCAGAAGAACTTAACTACCATGCCACCGGGTTGGCCCTATAATTTAATTTTTAATGATGACTGTGTTTAACAACCAGTTCACAAAATTCCTGAGAATTTAACAATAGACCCTCTGAAGCCAGTAAAACTTGGCTCCAGCACACAAATATATTTCGAGGAAGAAAAAAGGAAGGACAAAGAGGGAAAGATTCCTCCAGGTTGATTTCACCAGCTGGGAGCCCAGGAGGCTGGAAATGAGGCCTCATTGCTGGAGGAAGCTGTTTTGATCATTCGTTTTCCAGGATGGTTATGATCATAACGGAAATTATAAAAATGGTAATTCAAATAAAAATAGCAACTACTCTTTATTGCCTGTCAAGTTCAGATCCTGCAATTTTGGGGCTTTTTGTCTCATTTAACCCTCACGATGATCCCATGAAGTAAGGACTATTGCTATCCTCATTTAATAAGTGAGAAAACCAAGGCTCAGAGGTCAAGGCAAAAAGCTGGGCTGGGATTGAGCTTGTCTGGAAAATTCTATTTCTGAGGAGTTGAGGACTCATAGTCCTAAAAGCAACTTTTCCACTCATGTTAACTGGCATTATCTGCAACCCCCGCCTTCCCTGGGCCCCTCTAAGAAGCAGGACTCTGCGGTCTAACAGTGGGAATGGCCAGGGGTGCAGATTTCTGGTCTCTGTTTGCCAGTGAGGTACAATGTGACCTTGGGCAGATGGTTCATCTCGGTTCCTCTGTTTCCTCATCTGTAAAATGGGCTGATGGCACTGCTCTACATCTTGCAGAGAGTTATCCTGAGACTCAAAGGTGCATCAAAATTGGCTAGAGTTGTACTTTAGGACTTGTCACTCACAAGCTACATGGCTTTGTACCAGCCATAGAATCTCTGGCCTCCCAAGTTTCTTATTTATATTATGAGGGGGTCACATGAGATCACCATGAGGCTGTCAGATTCTGAGGCTACAAATGAGAAAATAGCTCCAGAAGGGCCGGGAAAAGGCAGAAAGCAGTCCACAGATGTGAGGTATTGTTTTTCACTCTCTGCGGCCCCATTTCTTTCCAACTGCCTGTGGTTTTTGTGGTCACTGGTCTCAGAGAGGGTCATGGAAGCATTTATGACCTGAGTCTTTGCACTGTAGCAGTGATGGCAGATCAGACAGTGCTGGTCTCCCTGGGTGCAGATGAAGCCTCACCTCCAAAGCCAGGGAGGAGGCATCTGGGGGGAGCAGGAGCTTGGGCACAGCCTGCCTCCGGGCCCTTCAACTCAGAGCTCTGTCTGGGTTCCACCTGCCAAGATGCCAGGCCTGGGTTCCAGGCTCAGAGTTGCCAAGAAAATGGCTGGGGGAAGGCATCCCAAGCCCAGGGACCAGCAAGTCCAAGGCCTAGAGGCAAGAATGACCTTGGCAAATACAAGGCCTAGAGCGGGGAATGAACTTGGCAGTTTCAAGGCCTAGAGGGGGCAATGAACTTGGCAGTTTCAAGACCTAGAGGAGGAATGAACTTGGCAAGTTCAAGCAGCAGCAGACCAGCCTGGCTGGAGAGAGGAAGGGAAGAGGTCAGACATGACCTGCCCAGGCAGCAGAACGCCTGAGAAGCCAATGGGCCCCAAGGGGGCAGGTGAGAGACGTTCCCTGGTTCTTTTCACCACCTAGCCCTCAGGCATGGTCACCCCAGACCTCTGGGGGGCCTCCGTCTTGGGAGGAGTCCTCCCACCTTCCAAGTCTCCAGCTGTTCTCAAAGGAGCGGATCAGTCCCTCTAGTGGGGCCAGCAGCCAGCTC